TATGCATCCAAAAACCGGTTGTAAAAAATTTGTAACCGGTTATGTGAACAAAGTAATCGCTCAAAAATATGCAATTTTAAATACTTTATGCAGAATATATAGATCATAAATTTGAAAACAAAAAAGATCGATTATGTGAATCTCAGAACCGGTTACCGATTTTTTTTAAAACAATTAATTGCATTTTAAAGTCGATGTTTTATTCCAAAATGTATCGGAATTGACAATATATTTTAAGTAAATGTGTATATACACCAATAACCGGTTTCCAAAAACCGAGTAACCGGTTTTTTGAAAAAAGCAACCGGTTATAAAATGCAATTTTAAGTAATTTTAATTACAAATAGTAATAAATTAGGCCATAACGACAAATCTGAACCGGTTTCATGAAACCCATAATCGGTTTTTAACTTAAAATTAGCAACGAAATTTTAAATTTCCATAAAAATTCTAATAAATTATTTATAGATAGTAAAAGAATTTTACATAGTTTTGAATTAAATCCCCCCACACCAAATCCCATGGATAATTTTATTCGATAATTATTTATTTAAAATTTCAAGGTATCGACATTGAACTTTAATCTAAACAATCACACAAAAAATGTGAAAAGATTTTTTTTCGGTTTGAATATCTTTGCTTTTTCCAAAACGATGATAGCGCCATCATTGTTGGTCAGATAAATTATTTCCAGAATGTTTTCATTCATTCGCACTTTAATTATGTGCATACATACAGACAGACAGACATACGTACACACACCTTGTTCACACCCCTCCTCCATGGGATATGGAATGAAGAAAACCCGAAGAATGTTATCTTAACAAGTGGTAGTTGGTGGTGTTGATTTGCGTTAAAGAAACGAAAAAAACGAAGAAGCAATAAAAATAACAGCATTGAAATTAAAACGAATTTGAAATGAAAAAAAAAAATATTCAAATATAGAATCGTTTTTTCGGACCCTAAAAATTCCTTTTTTTCCAGCATGTTTGTTTTTTTCTTCTTCCGAACGAAAACAGATAATAAAATTTGAAAGCTATCAAAATAAAAAAAACACGTAATAAAATTCTTCATAATTTAAAAGGGCGAAATAAATAACGAATTCTCTCTCTCACTCTCTCGTAATTTGAATATTTTATCAATGGTTAAAAAACAACAACAAATATTTATTTAAAATTTAATGCCGAAAATTTGTTGTTCCTGTGGGTGATAAGATATGCATCATTACCTCATTTAAATGACGTCAGTTTTGCCCATTTAACACGAAGGTCGATGATACATTTCTTTCATTCGATTTTTTTTTTTTTGAGTGTGCAAACACCTATCGAACCACTTAAAGAGATTATTATCGCATGGAAGAAGCCAAAAGGAGCTTCAAAAATTAAGTATCTGCCAAGAATGTTTGAACGTTATTTAATGGTTCAAGGTGTGTTTGTTATATTTTTTTTGCAAATTATATTTTTTTTATACTTCAATGGCTTTTAGGTGGGTTTGGAAATAAGTAACCGGTTTTCATATACGGATTTTAAGGCCCCTTAAAATTAGAAAAATAAAATAATATTGTCACAAACGAAAAACACATACATTTTCGTGAAAATGCCGAAATTAAATCAAGTAACCGGTTATAAACCGGTTTTAAGTCCCCTAAAAATTAGAGAAATTAAAAGAATATTAACCGATTTTAAAACTTTAAATTTTGAAATATCAAAAGGATTTAACGCAGATGAAAATACCTAAAAAAATTTTTAAATCAAGTAACCGGTTATAAAAAATCACGTAACCGGTTTTTACTGTTCTTTCAAATTTATTTAAAATCAATATTTTTTTATTCAAAAACTTGGTTAAAATTCTAATTAATTATAAATTATTTTTTTTTTCTACTATAACAGCTTTCAAGGTTTTCTTTTGAAATGTGTAACCGGTTTTTATACACGATTTTAAGACACTTTAAATTTTGAAATATCAAAAGGATATTAACGCAGATGACAAATACCTAAAATTGAAATTTTTAAAATAAAGTCAAGTAACCGGTTATAAAAAATCAGGTAACCGATTTTCATGTACTTTCAATTTTGTTTGAAAATTTGTAAAAAATCACTTCAATAACTAAAATTAAAATTCGAAGCGATAAAAATTGCAATTTTTTAATAAAAAACCGCTTTCGGAGACTTTAAAAAAGTAACCGGTTGCTAAATAAGATCGGTTTTCTTGTATATACAAATAAAACTAAAGAATGTAATAACTAAATAAACCACAAATAATTGATAATAAATAAAAATAAAGTCAAAAAACCGGTTTAAAAAAAAAAAGTAACCGGTTTTATATGTAATTTAATATCATTTATAAATCCATAATCCTTTAAATATAATTGTTAAAAAATCAATAAGAATAAATAATTATACAACGGGATATCCGGTTTTTTTTTTAATAAGTAACCGGTTTTAACATACGAATTTTAAAGACACCTTAAATGGAAAATAATAAATAATATTGTCACAGATGAAAATTACATAAAAACTACTAAAACGACTAAAATAGAAGCAAGTAACCGGTTATAAAAAATTAGGAAAACGGGTTTCTATGTACTTTCATGTTAATTAAAATTCGATTTTATATCAAATTGCAATTTTTTCTTAATTTTACTCGCTTTCGAGATTTTTTGAAATAAGTAACCGGTTTTTATATGCGAGTTTTTGGAAATAAATGTAAAAACTTAGGAGAATGTTACAAAAGATGAAAAATAAATTAAATTTCATGAAACCGTTAAATTTAAAAAAGTAACCGGATATAAAAAATCACCTAACCGGTTTCATATGTAATTTCCAAATGCTGTGAAATCAATAATTATTATTTTATTAATAAATAAATTAATAAATAATTGAAAATTAATAAAAATAGAGAAACAAAAAACCGGTTACTGAACAAAAGTAACCGGTTTTATAAATCACTTTAAAATCATTTAGTATATGGATTATTTAGAAGATTTATTTGGATAATATAAAACGATAATAAAAAGCAGACGAAATACATCGGTTATTTATACGAAAGTAACCGGTTATAAACCAGTTAAAATTACTTTAATTTTATTTTGAAAAAAGTAACCGGTTTTCTTAATCACCGGTTATTTAATGAAAAGTAACCGGTTATTTAAAAAAGTACCCAGCTTTAAAATTGTAATAAAAAGTACATCAATAAATAATTTGATAATAAATAAAAAATTTAACACAAAACCGGTTATTTAATGAAAAGTAACCGGTTTGTTTTTAAAAAAAGTAATCGGTTCTAAAATAATAAGAAAAACTACATTATTAAATAAATTAAAAAAATAATCTAAAATTAATAAAAATAAGCCAAAAACCGGTTATAGAAAAAAGTAACCGGTTTTCTAATACACTATAAAATCATTTACCAAATAGATTATTGGGATTCGAATTGTTTTCTTCAATATTCATTTGATAAAACATAAAAATTTTAACATAAAACCGGTTATTTAATGAAAAGTAACCGGTTTAGTTTGAAAAAAGTAACCGGTTATTTAAAAAAGTAACCGGTTATTAAAAAATGTATCCGGTTTTAAGACAATAAAAAATACATTTATAAATAATTGAAAATTAATAAAAATAAGCCAAAAACCGGTTATAGAAAAAATAACCGGTTTTCTAAATCGCTTTAAAATTATTTACCAAATAGAAAATTGTGATTAGAATGGTTTTCTTCAATATTAATTTTCAATTTTAACACAAAACCGGTTATTTATAGAAAAGTAACCGGTTATTTATAGAAAAGTAACCGGTTTTCTTAATCGCTTTAAAATCATATAACAAATAGATTATTGAGATTGGAATTGTTTTCTTCAATATACATTTTATAATAAATACAAATTTTAACACAAAACCGGTTGTTTACAAAAAGGAACCGGTTATTTAAAAAAGTAACCGGTTATTTAAAAAGTAACTGGTTATTTAAAAAAGAATCCGGTTTTAAAATAATAAAAAATACATTAATAAATAATTGAAGACTAATAAAAATAAGCCAAAAAATGGTTATCGATAAAAGTAACCGGTTTTCTTAAATTATTTACCAAATAGAAAATTGGGATTAGAATTGTTTTCTTCAATATTCATTAGATAATAAATAAAAATTTTAACATATAACCGGTTATTTATAGAAAAGTAACCGGTTATTTAAAAAAAGTAACCGGTTTTCTAAATCGTCTAAAACAATTTACCAAATAGATTATTGAGATTAGAATTATTTTCTTCAATATTCATTTGAAAATGATAGCAAAAAACCGGTTATGTAATGAAAAGTAACCGGTTTTATATACCACTTGAATGAATCATTTAATAAACCGACTATTTTAAAGGAGTTTTTTTGCATTTTTTCTATTTTATTAAATATAATAAAATATAAATACAATGTACCGGAACAGTGCAGCTATTGCCAATGACAGGGTTGCCATCGGCTTGTAATAATATTTTCACCCCAAAAATGTTTAATTTTTATTCAATAAGTAATATTCTTTTCTTCAATTTATGGATTAGATTTCAAGTTGATTTTATCCAATTGAGTGAAACCCCTCATTTTTCAGAAATCACTTTCAATTTTATTTTCGTTTTCATTTTCTAGACAATTTTTATTGACTCCCTTTAATTACTCGATTCATTATCAAAATTTTGTTTTATTGTTGTTTTTGTTTCAATTTATAAATACCCGTTTGATAATAGACCCGCATTAAAATATTTTTAATGGTGGGAGTATTTATTGGCAGCAGCGGCGGCAGCATATCGTGTGCTGCTTGTCAGCTGATGATGTGGGTATTTTTTTTTTTTTTTTTTGTAACGGCGGCACGTGCTGCCACGGGGTTTAATTTCTCAAGAGGGGGAATTTCAATTTTTTTCGGATTAAATTTAATAATAGTTTTTATTATTTTTTTTCTGTTTTGGGTGATTTTATTATTTTAACCCTCTTTCTCTCTCTCTCTCTCTCTCTAATTGCAGAAAACCATCACTCAATATTGTGGTACCGCGATGAATTGCCCATTACAAATGGCAACATTACCCTGGTGGTGGGCAACTACGAGGTGGACAACAAACACAGTCTAACCATTTACAATTATACCAGCACAACTGTGGGCAATTTCTCCTGTCAGGTGTTGCCCGGTGAAATACGCCAGTATGTGAAAATCGAATTGAAGGCCCCCGAAAATATCTCCGAGATGAATGGTGGTGGTGCTTCCCTGCTGAGTGGTAGTGTTGCCACTATTAATTCCATAATTATGATGCTAATGGCCATGTCGATGTGGTATTAAGCCCAAAACCAAACAAATCACATAGAATTGTTTTTCCTGTGCATATTAAAATTATTTTTTGGATCCTGTAGCATCTGCCTAACGAAAAAGGATATTTTTGTTTTTAGGAAAAAAAAATTTTTTGACAAAACATATGGAACAAAATTATTATTATTATTAATACGAGTGTAACAGATCAAAAAAATGAAGAGGCTGAACAAAACCGAACAAAACATTTCACATCATACAACAACAACAACAAGCAAACATACATGCATACCTTACATACTTAACGCATATATCTCTCTCTATCTGTCTGTCTTTATCTTATCATGTAAAACGAAACCACTGACATCTCTAATGCTAATTATATACAACAGCAACAACAACAACACGAAGGAACCACAAATGTACTTATATACAAAAAACAAAAACAACAAATTAGCAACTTTTTTTTAGAAAAAAAAATTAGTTTGATTTCTTATTAGAATTTTAAAATTTAAATAAGAAAAAACTAAAAAAATATTAAGCTAGCTGGGTTCACATGTCATGGCATATACGAGTATGAAGTCATATGGCCACATGACAAATTAGTGAAGTAACAAGGCCCTTTAACATGGTTCACACAATGATGCAATAATCAGGTGATCAAAACAAAAACATCTGTTTTTTTTCGATTATCTGTCAAATTTTTATCTAGTAATATTCCACATGGTTGGCAACCCTACACTTTGAATTCAATTAGCAGCTATGCACTTTGACAGTAAAACGAATAGTCAGCTGGGCTAAATGGACTACCTAGTTATTGTACCATGGTTCACACATGAGACGATAAACAGCTGTTTTCTTTTATCATTAAGTTTAAAGTGGTGTATACACTATCAGGGCCACATGACAAATTAGTGAAATTACAAGGCGCCCTTACATGGTTCACGCAATGATCCAATAAGCAGGTATCAAAAGCAGTAAGCCGTATCAAAACAAAAACATCTGTTTTTTCGATTATCTGTCAATATTTTTAGTAACATTTCACATGGTTGGCAACACTGCACGTTGAATTCAATTAGCAGCTATGTACTTTGAAAGTTAAACGAATAGTCAGCTGTGCTAAATGGACTACCTAGTAATTGTATCATGTTTCACACATTAGGAGAAACAAAACAGCTGTTCTTCTGTTGTTATTAAGTTTAAAGCCGGGTACACACTATCAGGGCCATATAATGATGTCATCCAGGAAGATGATGATATTTTAAATTGAAATTTCAATAGTAAATGAGTGAACTTCATCCAAATCGGATAATAAATGCGGCCTGTACTTTGTTCACAAAAATACATGGACAGACGGACATACGTAAATCGACTCAGAAAGTGATTATATGCATATTCTCAAAAGGAACCATAGGTCTATCTTTTTTACTTTCTGGGTGCAATGTCTATTATGAGGTAATAGGCCTTGCACATAATCCGTTCAGAAAAAATAGTTTTGCTATATTTTTTGCTTCTTTGATCGTGTGGTTGTTTATATCCACCATCTTTCAAATGTTCACAAAAATATTCTTGGTTTTTAGAAAGTCTGTAATCGATACAAAAAAATTAACTCTAAATTGATAGTGTATACTCACCTTAATATAAATAAATATGACATGTAGACATATTAAACCATATGACCACTTGACAAATTAATGAAATAAATGGTTAATAGAACACAGGCAATGCACTTTAACATAGTTCACACAGGAGTCAAGAACAGCTGTTTTTTTTTATATTTTAATTTAAAACGGTGTACACACCATGAGTTTTGAATGACACTTACGCCAAAATATTTTTTCGTCATTTTTGTCCATAATTTTACATTCAGTAGGCGATAAGAGAACTAAAAATCTAAACAGATAGTGTGTACTCGACTTTATAGTCCAGTTTTAATTCAATAACAGCTGTTTTTTATATATACGTTTAAAGTGGTGTATACAACATGAGTTTTCTGTAGGCGATAAAAGAATTAAAAATCTAAACAAATAGTGTGTACTCGACTTTATAATCCTGTTTTAATTCACGAACAGCTGTTTACGTTTAAAGCGATGTATACACTTTGAGTTTTGAATAGCACTTTCGCTGAAATATTTTATTTTGCATTGTGGCCATTTTTGTCCGAAATTGTACAGTTAGCCAGCGATAAGAGAACTGACAAGCTAAACTGATAGTGTGTACTCGACTTAATTTTGTCTAGGCTGAATACTTTAAAAATTAAATATTCTTTTTTTTGTAATAAAAAAATATTTTTATGTGATTTTTCATATATAGAAATAAATTCACAATGGCAGCATTTTGACAGTAAACATGATAAACAGCTGATCTACAAAGGGTGGCCATATAAATAAGCCCTGATAAATTGTATTGTGTTCAAGAACTATATAAGGAGAAGATGACATTTGAATAACACTTTCGCCTAAATATTTTTTTGTCATGTGACAATTTTGTCCGTAATTTTATAGTCACTTAACGATAAGAGAATTTTAGACTTAAACTGATAGTGTGTACTCGACTCAATATCAAAAACAAATTTGTCAAGGTTGAATTCTTTAAAAATTAAATATCCTTTTTTTATTTTTGTAATAAAAAATTGAATTTTTAAGGATATTTCTCATATATGGAATTCATTTCACAATAACAGCATTTTGACAGTAAACATGAAAAACAGCTGATCTACACAGGGTGACCATATAACTAGCCCTTTATAAAAGGTATTATGTGTGAAAGTACTCTCATAAGCAAGGCCTGTTAATAAGGTCATCCAGGGAGACCATCTGGATATCAGCTGCTTCTCAAGGTTATTGTCAAAATCCATTACTGTGAATTGAAAACGTAAACAAAGTCCAAATAGTTGACAAGCGAAATTAAGCTGTTTATTTTTCAAGTCAAACAGCTGACTTTCGCTTGCTGTGTAATATCAGCTGCTTCTCAAATTTGCTGTCAAAATTCATTATTGTGAATTGAAAACGTAAACAAAGTCCAAATAGTTGACAAGCGAAAATCAGCTGTTTTTTTCTCAAGTCAAACAGCTGACTTTCGCTTGTTGCATGACCTAATAAATATATCTTGTCTCATAAATTTTATGGAATTGTATGACATTTAATTAAAGTGTTATGTTTACACCAGAGGCATAAAAAATGCCAGCGTTAAATGAAATGTCAACCACATTGAGCTACATAGCCATACATCAATTCACATTTTTAAAATGCCAATAAACTTAATTTTAGTCAAAGTTAATTTGATAAAAATCTAGTTAAAATTTCATCACTGTAATGGAAATTATAGTGTCTATTATTAAGACACCTGGCCACACAATAAATTTTCTGTCAGTATACTTGAATGATTGTGTAGTAATTACATAGGTACCAGGCCATTTACCAAGTTGGTTAATTGAAAAACAATTTAATATTATTTTAAAAAATAGTGAGCAAAGTCATCTGGTCACACATCAAATTTTTTTATTTAGTGTGTATTATTAGGGCACCAGGCCGCACATTAAGTTGTTTTCCAAATTACCTACAAATTTCACTTTAATGATGTCTGTGGTTATGCACCACAACAGTAACGCTATATATTTGAAATTGCCATGAAGTTACATGGCCACACATCAAGTTCAATTTATTAAAATTAAAAATATACCAGACTAGTTCGAATTTTATGCAATTAAACAATGAAAAATGCAGCTAATGTATGTCATAGAATTTCTTTAAAATGTTCTTAAGACACCTGGTCACACATCATGTTGTTTTCCAAATTACCTACAAAATTCACTTTAATGATGTCTGTGGTTATGCACCACAACAGTAACGCTAAATATTAGAAATTGCCATGAAGTTACATGCCCACACATCAAGTTCAATTTATTAAAATTAAAAATATACCAGACTAACTCTAATTTTATGCAATTAAACAATGAAAAAAATTTAGTACAGCTATTGTATATCCTAAAATTTCTTTAAAATTTTCTTAAGGCACTTGGTCACACATCAAGTTGATTTCCAAATTACCTACAAATTTCACTTTAATGATTTATATAGCATTGTATTGTATAACTAATACACCACTACAGTAAAGATAAGGATGTGAAATTGTCATGAAGTTACATGGCAACACATCAAGTTGGATTTGTTAGAATTAAAAACTAATTGTTTTATTCGAATTGTGTTTAATAAAACCATGGAGAATTTTTTAAATATTGGTACACATAATTGTTCCGAATTAAATTTCCCTAAATCTTCTTAAGGCACCTAGCCACACATCAAGTTTTTTGTTAAAATGTCATGCAAATGTCATTTAAATGATCCGATTAACTACATAAAACTTCAGTAACGTTATTGGCTCAAAAAAATATTGACGTAACCTGGCCACACATTAAATTCAAGTGAACATTTTTTCCAAAACAAATAATGAAAACTATTGTAAATGTATATAGATATCGTCTTACATACTAAATACGAGATAAAAAATTATTAATATTTTCCTAAGTCACCTGGCCACACATTAAGTTTGTGGCAGGAATTTGATTTAATATTATTATTGTAATATTATATTCTTCTGATATTTTATTCTTTTAACTGGGAACACTTTTCGAAAGTTTTTTAAAGCCATTATGAAGTAACCAGGCCACACATTAGTTCGAATGAAAATACAATTTAAGCAATTTGATTAATTTTTTTAATTTTTATCATTATTAAGTAACCAGGCCACACATTAGTTCGAACCAAAATCAAATTTAAACAATTTGATTAATTTTTTGAAAGGTTTTGAAAGGGTTTTTAAAGTTTTTATCTGCATTTGAGTGTAGCCAAATGATTTTTATGCAATATGCCATCATGTGAACCTGATATTAGGTTTTGAAAGGGTTTTGAAAGTTTTTATCTGCATTTGAGTGTAGCCAAATGATTTTTATGAAATATGCCACCATGTGAACCTGATATTGGGGATCATTTTTTTTCAATAACTAGCTAATATTTCTATGCATGTTATAATAG